CTCTCTCTCTCTCTCTCTCTCTCTCTCTCTCTCTCTCTCTCTCTCTCTCTCTCTCTCTCTCTCTCTCTCTCTCTCTCTCTCTCTCTCTCTCTCTCTCTCTCTCTCTCTCTCTCTCTCTCTCTCTCTCTCTCTCTCTCTCTCTCTCTCTCTCTCTCTCTCTCTCTCTCTCTCTCTCTCTCTCTCTCTCTCTCTCTCTCTCTCTCTCTCTCTCTCTCTCTCTCTCTCTCTCTCTCTCTCTCTCTCTCTCTCTCTCTCTCTCTCTCTCTCTCTCTCGCTCTCGCTCTCGCTCTCGCTCTCGCTCTCTCTCTCTCTCTCTCTCTCTATATATATATATATATCATAGTGTATAGTTGTATTTGACACACCTTTCCGATGCAGGAGGGGCAGGTGTCGCGAGTAATCGAACCCCGTGCCTCCGATTTTCCAGATGAACAGCTTGACCCGGCGGATTGGTATGCGGGGCACACCAGTTGCGAAACGGGCACCTTATGACACCTAAAACTGGCATTGAAGATGAGGGGGCGGCGCATCACTTCCAAATATGCGCCAACACACATACTAAAGTGTCGTAAATGACAGGATATTTGTGGTGCAATGTGTTGTTCGAATCAGATATGCCGTTATTTACAACTTTTGCATATAGGGGAAGCATACACACGTGCATCCATAAGTGATGCTTGGAAGCAGGTTTTCATTCAAACATGTCCGATTAAAAATGACAGCATGTTTGGTCCTGGCTCGCTCCTTATTTGATGGTATATTCCCCGAAATAATAATGTCATCATTGGAAACAGGTTCAGCGTGCCTGCGTGCCCTAACTGTTCGTTGGTCCTCTATCGTTAGGCGTGGGCACAATTACACACAATATACAAGACGGTCGTGGTCCCGTCGGATCATCATTGCATTTTTGCATTTCTGTTACCCAGAATGCTTCATTTAGCTTTATGGCGTATATCTGGTATCATGCGCATTATTAGTGCACACCTGGCGCAATGAAGAACACCGGAAGCCTTGACCCGGCTCTATCGGCCGCTCCTTTCCGACGCCTATTTAAGGTGCCATATACTACTCATCCCGCAGCTGGCGCGCTCCGCTTATCCATCCGCTAGGTTAAGCCGAGCGTCTGGGAAACCAGAGTTGCGGAGTTCGACTACCGCGGTACCTTCCCTCCGGCATCGGGAGGTGTGTCGAGTGCAAATCAGCAAGTTTTTTCAGCACGTCTCAGGTAGCCGCAGTGCTGAAATAGAGGCGTGTGGACGAAGATGCAAGGATGGCCCCACTGGGTTCGTCAGCTGAAACGTGAGGTCAACACTGGTGATGCGTCAAAGGACGCCACGACGTCCTGCCTTTCTCTGACTCGCAGCACTTCTGAAAATGCGCCGCGACGATCTCAGCGCGTCTTCGATATGTATGGGGATATGGGGGGGGGGGGGACTGGCTGCTTTGCTACTTAAGCGCGGGCGAAGTATTGGTTATATTAATAGGTATGTATCGTGTTATTTGCGAAATGACCGTTCTGATGGGCCCCTTCTTTGTCCGCCCTTGGTGTTACCAGAAAATACCCTGTCTTGTATTCAACAATCAGCTTTAAAAGCCTCATTCCCCCGCTTTCGCGCTCTGAGTTAACGACCTCCGTACTAATGGTCAACCCCTTCACGTCTGGATGGGCCAACGCAATGGTACGAAACACACCCCTCGCAACAGTGTTTTCGCTAATGGGACACAATTAATTCGGAGAAAGCATTATCTAACAACCAGGTCGGCGTAAGACACGGACACTGATTTCTCGGCGCGATTTTTCCTTAAAAGACGCCCTGTCATGTTTAGAATGTCAGTTATCCTCTGGCCTGTTCTCAAATCCTAATCCGCGGCCCCCGTGCCTGTTCAAGATCCAGTACGGTCTAGCCCAATCCTTGGACTGATCCCACATCTATGGATACCCCAATCCGTAAACAGCTTTGCTCCAGACCGCAGCGCTCTGCAATCACCATGTATTGCGTTCAACCATAGATGCTCCGGCAGACCGATTGAGATGCACCGGTCGCTTATCCAATATAAAATAGTACGAAGCATTTTCGTATCACGGGAGGCACGCACCGAGAATCACGAGAATACGCGGTCAACAGAACTAACTAGCTCGACAGCATCACCACAACTTCTCACGGCGGAATGCATTTCTGGTACGAAAGCACACGCCATCTTGCTGGCAAACACTCGAATCAAAAGGAAGGTTTCGCATTGACCATTCACCGTACCCCTCTTCGCGCCATCTCGCACTCCGCAACCCGACCCTCGCCCACGCACGCTAATCAGAATCCTACACCCTCGAGTCAGATGACCAGCGGACCGAAATGGACGCCCGCGTCGTCACCGCTGACCACCGTACCAGAGGTGGCTGGGGCGGTGCAAGGCCCCTGTCTCTACATTGCCGGCCGTGGTCCCTCACGGCTGAGCGCAGCGGATGCTCAATGGCCGGGCTTGAACTGCCAGTGGCCGGCCAGGGCCGCTACAGCATTCGGCGCACCATGTAGTTGAGAATGCCGCCGTGGCGGTGATACGTTAGCTCCACCTCCGTGTCGAACCGCAGCACCACATGGAACGTCTTGCCGTCGCCGGTCTGCCAGGGAAAACCAACAACCACGTGAGCACAGACAAGTACGCGAAGGCACATGCGTCATGTGCCCCCATCGCTGTGGTCCTGACAAAAGCTGCTGGTCCGTGGACGGTAGCACTTGCCAGTTTTATACCTTGCACACAAAGCGGACCCCACGCGGCGGGAGCACAGACAAAGCACACGCTCGCAGCAGCAATCGTTGCCGCAAAAGCCACCGCACCCGCCCTGTCTGCGGTAGCTGGCGCACCAGGTCGTGACGCTGCTGGCCCCACCAGGCCGACGCGCCGCCAGTCGGCCCGGCCATCGGGTCAGATCTTCAGACGCCTCCGCCCGGCGTGCCTTACCTCGACAGGGATGTCCATGCCGGGCGCCAGCTGGTCGGCCGGCGGCAGCCGGACTGTGATGGTCTCGCGGCCGCTGAGGCCGAGCGAGTCGGCCGTCTGACCGGACCGGAATTGCAGCGGCACGATACCCATGCCCACCAGGTTGCTGCGGTGGATGCGTTCGTACGTCTCGGCGATGACAGCCCGTACGCCCTGTGGGAGGGTGGTGTCAGGCGAGGCTCGGCAGAGGCCGGGTTAGGCAGGCGGCGCTGAACGAGGTGCCATGGACAGCATGGTACACAGCCGTGCGCATGTGAACGCAAACGCCACAACCGCGAGACACGACACGAAACATGATATCGCTCCGGCAGTGACCATCAGTAAGTGACCATCCTGCCATTCTACGGAATGAAATGCGACGTAAACGAAATCAACGTTCCTGAGCCGTCACTATTCTCCGTAGCGATCCTATGCCCGACTGAGCCCGGCCCCCGGCAGCCGACTGACCATGAGGAACGGCCCTTTGGCGGCCCAGTCGCGGGACGAGCCGGAACCGTAGTCCTTGCCGGCCAGGATGATGAGCGGCCGGCCTTCGGCGCGGTACCGCTCGGCGGCGTCGAACACGTCCATGGCCTCGCCCGAGGGCAGGTGCAGCGTGCGCGGACCCGGCTTCTCCATGAGCCGGTTCACCAGCCGGATGTTGGCGAACGTGCCGCGCGCCATCACGGCGTCGTTGCCGCGCCGCGAGCCGTACGAGTTGAACTCGCGCGGAGTCAGGCTGCCGGCAAAGCGGGGTGTTCGCCGGAGGGCAGACACACTGTGCCAGCATGAGGGGAGCCACCCAGAGTGTCGCTGTCAGAAAAACGGTGCTAATGGCCCATCACAATGCTGCTACTTTCACAAAGGGACTATGTAACCTTTTTTACTCCTTACTTCAATTGGCTGCGTCCAATTTGGGCGGTAAACCAGTTTCTTGAAATACTTCTGAAAAGACAAAAGCTATATTCGCGCCGATGGGGTAAACGCCATCGCACTCCCTCCTCACCACTATGAAAGTAGTATTTTTAACTGGGGGGCGGGGGGGGGGGGCTTTTCTCGACATGTGCGTATGTTTTCCATGCATCAATTGAATAAAATGTCCGCGCGCGGGAGCTAGTCTCTTCAAAGAAATATATTACAAAGATCAGGTCGCTATCACGCAAATTCAACGAAATAGCGCAACACGGCTCTTATTTTTCCACAATGGCGTCTTTTTATCTACGTACAGCTGCTTCTTTCGGAGTGCTCTTTGACAGAAATGCTTTACTTTCATGTCAAGTTCGCTGGACGGTTGCGTTTTCAGAGCACGTATGTATCAGCCACGCACCACATGGTCCAGTGAAGCACACCTTAAAACTTCCAATTCTAATCCCCCTGGAAGCGTACGCTGTCCGCTGCACCAATCACAAACATCCATTTTTACTAACTCCATTCATATCTGCCCCATTAGTACGCCAACGTAAAATACACCTACCTCTGGAACCATGGTTGGAAGTGGCACACGATGTAAAATAAACATGTCTGGATCCTTTGCCAGAAAACCAGGGGTGCGGCCAGTCTGGATAATAGCCCGCGGGGGGGGGGCGGGGGGGGGGGGGTAATGAAGGACTCCTTATTGGTGAAAGCCTCTCCTCCCACGCCTAAAAGGTCACCGAATCGAAGTCACTTCATATCGAGAAGGCCAATTTTGCTTGTAAGTATACCTGTGTCGCGACAGTGAAGAGTTGAGAAACTGTGACTCACCCACGCGCCGCCAGGTAGCGAGCGGCCGCGCTGTTTCGGGCGATGCTGCCGGCCGGTGAGATGTGGTCCGTAGTGACGGAGTCTCCGAGAAACAGGAGGGCGTGCGCCTCCTCGATCTTCACGGGCGCCGGCAGCTCCTGGCGACGGCGGGCTAAATGTCAGTGGTAGGCGGACGGGAGTTCCGCCTGCAAGGCTCAATTGTCTGAAGATGCCGAAGTCCAGTCCTCGCAAAAACTGGATAATATGACGCAATTATGGTATATTTCGAGGGTGGCGGTACCACCGAATCGGTCGACGATCCCAGGACTGCATCATTCTCACGTGATTCCCACGCCAATCGATTATTTCCCATGACAATAGATCGGGATTTGTGACTTGAATTGCAGGCTTTTCGAAAAATCTGATCAAATCATGCAGTCAACAAGAAGGCGAAATGGTTTTAATCATGGTAGACAATTGTTTGTTTTTCTGTAGAATAATCAGCATCATGTCTGAATTTCACTGGCGGGGATCAAACGCTCCACCAAACTGTCAGCGCAGTGCTCACAGCGTCTAAAGGCCCAGGATTGCTAGACCAGAAAAGGCCTATTCAAGGCTCTATATGAGCTGTAGTCACCAAGCGATTAGTCTACGCCAAGCGCGACCCGCTGCGGGATGTCCATGGGGGTCACTTCGTCGGTGGCCCGCTGTCAGGACCGAATAGGCGGCCGAGATATGGGCCACCGGACGCACTGGGCCATGCCCCGATTCTAACGGACGGAGAGTGGGGTCTTTCTTTATGAACGCAAAGTAATAAACCGTGGGAAAGACGCACGGCGGCTAATTGCCACATCGTTCCACACGTCCAGGACATCTTCCCCAGCGGTGCGATAGGCCGGGACACTTCTCAAAGATTGCGGCACCACAGGTAACTTTCTGGAACGGAGGCCGACACGCCTAAGTAGGTCACATCGTGGCCTTCTCAAGATACAAGGTCACTGACCTAAAATCAACACCAGTGACCCGCTGCTCAGTGCGAGTATTTAAGTTCAAAACGGATGCATGAGGAGGTCTGGGGGCCACTTAGGAACCCAATCTTAAATTTGACATTGTTTGGCCTCCTTTGACCCGAAGGTCAATGACCTATAACACGTGAATTTTAACACAAGTGAGTGAATTTCAAAAGTGAGTCCGCACACAGCCTGACCGACCCTGTGCATTTGATGTCTCTAGCGACCTTAACCCTTGAGATCTCAGGGGGCCAAACTGACCTCCCCCACCCGAGAGGACATTTAACCGGCCACCCAAGCGCAGGCAGGCCTCAGCGAGTCATGACCCAACCAATGCAAGCCTGCCTGATTCGGCCCAGAAATTTAAAAACTAACTTAAATTTAAAAAAAAAACTCTTCAAATCAAGAGAAACTCGTCTCAACATTGAAAATCCTGCCTACACTTGACTGATTTCTGCAGCCTGTAATAACAAGGTAAGCTTAAATAATTGGACCGCCCGTGATTGCATAATCTATCAACAGGAAACTATTCAAAGCAGCACAATTGTTGAACGTGGGATGAATCGATGCCGAATCGGTTTACGCACTAAAACTCGTATTTGAATCAGAGCCGAACTGCTGACCTGAGATGTAAAACGACAATGAATCAATTAAAACACAAACTCATACGTTGAATCTGCGCTCAATCGTTGAAGACGGGTCTTGAATATATAGTTTGTAATACATAAATTGAATCGCAATACAACAACGCGCTCAGCGCTCTGCGCGCCAAACGGAGATCTCAACGCCCGGAGGAGCGGGCGAGACGTGTTGGCGGGAGTCGCCATCAGCCCTCTCTAGCGTCCCAGCAGTAATGGGTCACTCATCACCTTGGTCATGTTCTGGAAGAAGGGCGGCAGCTTGATGTAGGTGGAGTTGCCGTCCCACGGATACAGTTTGCTCTCTGGCGTCTCCAAAGCGTTCCAGTTGTCATTCCCTGCATTGGAAGACAGCGCGTCACACAAAGCAATGCTGCCACCGAACGACATATCGTTCAAAAGCAGTCAAAGCTAACCACACTACACATGTTCTGTGCACTCATTTACGGGCGGGTTATACACAACGCTGTGGGCGAAAAACCTTTTTTTGTACGTGCACGGTACAGCTAACGAACAAGCTCTCTGACATTTCCAATAGAGCGTGAGCAAAATTTGAGGCCCCTCTTCCAGGCATCTGCACTAAACGAAGCATTACTGCGAGCGTCAGGCAATGCCACGCGGTTCCCACCGGCGCCTCAACCCAGACGAATCGCGCCGCGCCCGCGTGAGCGGCGCTAGCGGAGCTGTCAGTAATGGCGGATACAGACCATCGCCACGGAGAAGCTGTCTCCAGTCATGAGGAATCTGGCCAGATACAGAAGATACCGAGCCGTGCTGATTCCGCCGAGATACATCCTCAACTCACAACCAAACCAAAAAACAAACTGAGATTTAGGCTACTTTTTCAGAGGGACCCTTGTTCCGAGACGGTCTGCTAGATAGCGAGCTTCCGGAGAGACCTATCCTACCTCCACCGGGTCAACCATGACCTTAAGATTCCTCACCAGACCTGCCATTCGCTGGTGCCCACCAACAAACGCGTTTATTGGAACCGAAGCAATGTTAGTGGCATACTAATGATGGTGTGTACATCCTTTAACAAATCATTGCTCAGGTGCTATTTCAAGTACGTCAAGACAGCTCGGCTGCTGAGAACGGCCGCCTTTCATCTCACCCACCCGTAGCTGGATAGCTTCGCGCCGGTTTAGCTGTCGTTATTTGCCCTGATTTTGCCACCAAATGCTGCCGCTGACCCGTTATTTTACGATCGCATGGGGGGAGGGGGAGGGCGGACAGAGGTCACAGGCACTGCTTAGCGTGGGCGATGCTCCCTGAAATCAATCCAATCAACAGGTTTTGACTCAAACTTCACGAGCAGTTCCTACTTATACGCCGTTACGGGTTAAATGCATTGGTGTTTAGGAAATGCTGTGCGTAAGTCATAAAATACGGGGTGTTCGGTTTTAAAATATCACCTTTAAAGCGTAAGGATGCTAGAAAAGGACAAGCGCGCCTAGCTGAAAAGCCTCGTTGACATTTTTTTGGTCATTTACATTGGAGTCCTTATGCCAGATATCTAATACCATTGAGACGTCTCACAACACTTCAAAGTGGCACTAGATATGCATGCTTTACGCAATGTGGCCTGGAAGCAAGAGGTGAAGGCCTCTCTTCCGCACGCTCCGCGGCTTAACACGCCATTTGTCGGAGACGGACGAGAAGGCAGTAGGCTGCCCAGCGAACGGTTGCCGCAATGCAACTGGCCAACACTACACGCAGCAATAACGCTTCAGGATTTGCATGGGAATGTCTACAAAGGAAAGGTCTAAATGTCATGATAGAGATTCCCACTGGGTATACCATGACAGCAATATGCCAACAGCTGAATACGCGGACGTGTTCGCACCAGGGTTCAGCAGTGCTTACACACCAGTGAAGAGCAGTCGTTTCGAACACAGCAACAGCACCCTTTATGGCGCAAAAAAGTGCACAGCCGGCACAACCCCATGTGGTGAGTTTAGTCCTCGACATAAGCCACCAATCGGACCTCCACGCACGTCAGATCCCCCCTGAAGATGTATGGTGGCTTTGGTCACTAGTGTGGCGGCCTCTCGCGCCGGCGCTTCCAGTGGTGCCAGTGGAAATCCACGCACAGGGACAGGATACCCGGCCGGTACGAACCTTCGGTGATCTTGGAGTAGACTTGCGTGAACATGGCCGGGATGACGCACTGGGCCTCCAGCTGCTGGATCTCCTGGCGCGAGGGCCAGATGTCGCGCAGGTACACGTCGCCGCTCTCAGAGCTACCTGTGGAGACCGGCAGCGGGGGTCAGCGGCGGCGTGACCTCAGCCGACCCAGCCGCTCACGGAGCTGCCTGTGGAGACCGGCAGCAGGGGTCAGCGGCGGCGTGACCTCAGCCGACCCAGCCGCTCACGGAGCTGCCTGTGGAGACCGGCAGCGGGGGTCAGCGGCGGCGTGACCTCAGCCGACCCAGCCGCTCACGGAGCTGCCTGTGGAGACCGGCAGCAGGGGTCAGCGGTGGCGTCACCTCAGCCAACGCAGACGCCCCCAGAGCTGTCTGTGGAGACCGGCAGCGGGGGTCAGCGGCGGCGTGACCTCAGCCGACCCAGCCGCTCACGGAGCTGCCTGTGGAGACCGGCAGCAGAGGTCAGCGGAGGCGTGACCTCGGTCAACCCAGCCCCGTCACCTTTATTTAAGGGCATACACAACAGGTAAACCGACACCGTCATCAGGAGCGTCACCTTTGTACCGCCACTGGCACATGGAGTGATTGATGCCTCGAGTCCAAATATATTGTAGCGAAACAAGTGACATCCTCAGGATGAACCGAATACCAAATACGACCCATCCTACGACCGAATTCTCACAATGGGTCGCTATAGATAGCTCGCCGCAGCTTGATACAGCTGCTGCACTGTTTGATCGTTGTTACAAGCTCCGTCGTAGCCCGTAAAGTGCACTGAACGATCTCCTCCACGGGAAACGGGTCTTGCATCGCTAAGCCGACGATATCCGCGCGCAAAGCTACACCGGTAACAGATCTAACACAAACAGGGTGTGAGAAGAATGACATTATCGTTTCTCTGCCGACTTCTGAACGTTCTATGGCCACAACAACAAAGGGACGGTAGGTCAAGTTTCCTGATTTGACTGAATGGCTGGGAAATTCAGATGAAGTGGTCTTTAACATCCACAAATCTCGGACATCCATCAAATTACCACTAGAGTGCTGTTCTTCCGTTTTACTTTACATTTTCCAGTCTTGTGTAAGCCCATGAACCAATACACAGACATAGTGAAAGCAGCACTACCGTGTGGCACTCGCCTCCCAGTGAGGCAGTTCGAAACTTTGCACAATCAATGTGGGCCATAAACAAAATCCTATCAAAAGGAATGATGCATGAAGTATCAAGTAAATCATGACGTAACATTACAGGCATTTAACTCTTCATAGGTCCAATCCCTTTAAAGTCACTTTCAACCACCTGGCATAGACACTCAACACAGCTATTTCTGTGCGCACAGAGTTACAAACCGCAGGGAGTAGACATTGCCATTTAACACAGAGCACCCAGAGCACAGAGCTTATCGGGGGAGGGGGCCGACGAGACCAGAGGGAAACTAGGGCACGAGAGACGGCACACATTACCGCTTTAAGAATGTGACTTTTCGCCAATCCATATAAACAAATTCTAAGACATCAGAGCTCCTCCCCTTCCTCCGCTCAACACCACAAAATCACCCCGGCTGACCAATGGGCATCTCCACATCCTCCGGCTGACCAATGGGCGCCCCCGCATCGCCCCGGCTGACCAATGGGCATCCCCCACATCCCCCGGCTGACCAATGGCCGTGCCCCACATCCCTCGGGTGGCCAATGGCCGTGCCCCACATAGGCCGGGTTCACCAATGGGCATCCCCACATCTCCTGGCTGACCAATGGGCGTGGTCTCGAAGTCGATGTCCACGCGGCCGGCCAGCGCGTAGGCGATGACGAGCGGCGGCGAGGCCAGGTAGTTGGCGCGCGACTGCGGGTGGATTCGGCCCTCGAAGTTCCGGTTTCCCGACAGCACTCCGCAGCACACCAGGTCTCCCTGCAGGGCGGGGGAGAGCAGGCGCGGGACGCGGGGCCAGTCGGTCAGAGACGGCGCCAGACGGCACACCACCACAGACCCTCGCCAAAACTGTCCAGCTGATAAAAAGATAGGACAACTTAACGCTATCAAATACACATTGCCATTAGATGACGATCTGGGATTGATTTTAAACTAGAAATAGCGATTATCTTCTGCCTTCCAGGCTTGCTAGTACGCCCGGAAGGCGAGGATCCAGCTTTTTAAGGCGTTTAGAATCGGGTGAAAACATATTCCATCTGAGCTCTTGCACGCGTGGCAGCAAGACAGGTGGTTACCCAGAGGACAGTGCACGGTCAGCATTCTCCCCTCGCAGGCTGATGGGGCACAGGGAGGTAGGGAGTCAATTACCTGCCTAACAACATTATATATGTTAAAATGTCCTATCCACAGCCTTGCCCGCCCAACAAGCCGGAAGAGAGTCGTGCATTAGCTTGAAGTGTATCGGTCGTGCGGCCCTGCAGCCAGCTGCCGGCGCGTCGCACCTTCTCGATGGCCTCTGCCACCGGCTCGGGCAGCGGGCCACTGTTGCCGATGCATGTCATGCAGCCATAGCCGACCACGTCGAAGCCCAGCTGCTGCAGGAAGGGCAGCACGCCGCTGTCCTCCAGGTAGTGCGACACGACCCCGGAGCCGGGCGAGAGCGAGGTCTTGATCCAGGGCGGCACCGTCAGGCCGCGCTCCACCGCCTTCTTTGCCAGGATGCCTGCCCACCGGGAGCAGGGTCACGACGACTCACACTCACACTCACTCACACGACCACGCGGCCGACCTGCTGGGCATAGGACCAGCCGTCTGGCGCTGCCATTCTCTCTATTAGAGGGCCCTGTGTGGTGCTGGACGCTGCTTCACTTTTGCCTGGTGAGGCATTGCACATAATCCCTAGCTAGTCCAAAAGAGAGCATGGCACCTGTCTCAGCCAGGGCAAACACCTGCGGTTGGGTCCGGCTGCAAATCGATGTGTAGCGAGGCCTTTATCGTGATGGCCCCGGTCACAGCAGCTGCAAATGTGACACCAAATCAACATATTCTGAACCAGTCACCCCAAGTGACTACTGGGAAATGCTGCTTCGCGGTGATTCTGACTGATTCAAAATGACACATTGGCAGATTCATAATGCTGTAATATGGCATGTATATATATATATATATATATATATATATATATATATATATATATATATATGTATACACCATGCACAATGATCCGTCTCCAAGTCCAGCGCACCCCTCAAATCCACTTTGGCTCCTGATCACGTGGCACCCTGCACCACTAGGTACACTCACCGGCGCCGAGCATGACGGACGGATTGCTGGTGTTAGTACAGGAGGTGATGGCTGCGATAACCACGGACCCGTGTCCGAGGCTGTACGTCTGACCGTCAAACTGGAACTCGCGCTGGTCGGCCAGTCGGTCGCTAGGGATGCCGTATCCCTTGAAGCCCACCTGGACAGGGGGGCGACGGGGAGGGTCACAAGGGCCCGACCGACAACGCCAGTGCGTGGATGAGCCACAGAACAAAGGGCACATGGTACAAATACACAGATGGTGCATGCCACTGGGGCTTTACGAAACACTCAGTTGCTGAAGCTACATGGCGTTGCCTGTCTCTCAACCTGGCGGGAGTGGCGGGGACCGCGAGGAATCGAAACCTTTACTTCTGGTTTCCCAGACGCGCAGCTCAACCGCTACAGAGCACACCACACAAAGAGGGCGCAGACCACGGACGCAAAGCACACGGAACATCTATACCGAGAGCAGAGCCGAAGCCTGGCCAGGGCGCTGGCGGAAGAGGACATGGGAGACACGATTGACTGATCGCTGGCGCCAGCCCAGGCTTCACCGTGGGGCCAGTGATACGTCCGCACACCAGGTCCGTGTTCCAGAGAGGAATGAGGCGCTAGCACACCACGCCCACATCAACTTTACAGCCTGCTGTCAAGACACTTCAGTCACGCCGAGCTCACCTTGTTGGAGAGACACTGCAGGAAGTCTTCGCGCATGCGCGCGGCGTCAACGCGGTCGTGCGGCCGCTTGGGTCCGCTGAGCGAGGGCACGACGGAAGCCAGATCGAGCTCCAGCACCTGCGAGAAGGCCGGATCCTGGCCCGAGTCCGCGTAGTCCCGGAACAGGCCAACCGCTCGCAGATACGCCTCGGTCGTCTCGATCCGGTGCGCCTCACGACCTGGGGCCCCGCCTAAGGTCAGCGGCGGCCATGCCCTGCACACACGCCTCGGTCGTCTCGATCTGGCGCGCCTCACGATCTGGGGCCCGCCTGAGGTCAGCGGCGGCCATACCCTGCACACACGCCTCGGTCGTCTCGACCCGGCGCGCCTCACGACCTGGGGCCTCGCCTGCGGTCAGCGGCGGCCATACCCTGCACATATGCCTCAGTCGTCCCGACCCGGCGCGCCTCACGACCTGGGGCCCCGCCTGAGGTCAGCGGCGGCCATACCCTGCACATATGCCTCGGTCGTCCCGACCCGGCGCGCCTCACGATCTGGGGCCCCGCCTGAGGTCAGCGGCGGCCATGCCCTGCACACACGCCTCGGTCGCCTCGATCTGGCGCGCCTCACGATCTGGGGCCCCGCCTGAGGTCAGCGGCGGCCATACCCGCACGGCCAGGGCGCTGGCGGAGGAGACCGCTCAGTCGGGGTGACCGTTCACCGACTGGTGCGGCGTCCAGGTATGCCTGGACACGGTCCGGATGTTCTGTACACCTTCGGTCGGCGGTGGGGCACAAATGGTGCCTGCGCTGGGTCTGAACATCAATAACCAGACTCGTCCGGAAAGAGAAGTCATCTGAGCGTCAGTAGTAGATCACATGTTTGAAAAAACATCACCCGATGTGCAAAATATGTGGTTCAAATAACGCTTCCTTTTTTGTTGGCCACAGCCATTACGCTCGTCATCCAGAGAGAAGCGACAAAAGACTGCGGACGCGTAGTACAGCATGAAAGGTGAGGGACGGAAGTCCCCGTGTCATAGCCTGCCTGTCTTCCCAGGTTATCAATCGGACCCGTCCGTGGGTCTGCGCTACATGGTGCTCCCGCCCTCCCTCGCAATACTGCGAGGGCCGTCCCAGCCGAGACGCGGCTGCCCTCCAGACGTGAGCGGCAGCGGCCCTGCTAGTCCGTCGGCGGCGCGCCGGCGGCAGGGCCGGCCGGGGCGCGCCTCACCCGTCTGGCGCAGGTAGTCGATGCTTTTGGCGTCGACGGGGAAGAAGCCGACGGTGGCGCCGTACTCGGGGCACATGTTGCTAATGGTGGCCCGGTCGGCGATCGACAGCTGGCTGACGCCGGGCCCGAAAAACTCGACGAACTTGCCGACCACGCCCACCTGGCGCAGGTGCTGCCGGAGAAGGAGAAGGACTCCCCTCAGTGGTGACCTCGGCTCGGGCTCGGGCTCGGCTCGGGCTCGGCTCGGGCTAGGGCTCCGGCTCGGGCTCCGGCTCGCATTATCGTTAGTGATTTAGTTGCGACGGTTGAACGAAGAGGACGCCTTGGGTGCCTGCATCAGGTTGAAGTAGGACTCGTTGTCGAGGCTATGACCGCGAAGCCGCAGCGTCTCAACGCACGGATTGATTTCGCAACGGGTACGGCACCAGGCCAAGCAGTCGGCCATCCACATGTCTTCCGTACTTCCTAACTGCCCCACACTCTCCTGCACCGTACTCCGAAACCTTACACACCTCAGCCCACAGCGCCGTTTGGGGGTTTGCGAGTCACGGATATCACTCAAGCTAGGTCGACTCACATCGCGTGCCCGTTTGTACTGATACTTTGCATTCTTGCAGCCAAGGGCGGCTGATGTGCCGCTGAGAGCGGCAGCTGCCCTGCCCCATACTCTGGCCGCGGTCGGCGGTGCTCACCTTGGTGATGGTCAGCACGATGTCGGTGGAGGTGGCCAGCGGGCTGACGCGGCCGCTGATCCGGTAGCCGACCACTTGCGGCAGCACCATGCTGATGGCCTGGCCCAGCATGACGGCCTCGGCCTCGATGCCGCCCACGCCCCAGCCCAGCACGCCCAGCCCGTTGATCATGGTGGTGTGCGAGTCGGTGCCGACCAGCGAGTCGGGCCGCAGCAGGCCGTCCGTGTCGAACACGACGCGCGCCAGATACTCCAGGTTGACTTGGTGCACGATCCCCGAGCCCGGCGGCACGATCAGCATGTTGCGGAAGGCTTGCGAGCCCCACTGCCGGCAGAGAGGGCGACATTGTCAGGGGCGACCACGCCCTGTGGCCGGCCCGGAGACTCCAGCGGAGAGTCACAGCTGCCCAGCGGGACATCGGTGCAGCCGGCGTTCAGTTCCACACACACACAGCGAGGAGCAGCAACAGTCGCCATCCTTACTGCAGATGTGTAACTGTCCCTCATGAGGTGCTCACTGTATCAAGGAGGTACCTGGTCAAGTACAAATTATCGAAAAATAATACACACTAATTCGGGTCCCATACATGGCGTGAGAACGTGCAGACTGTGGCCTGGGTCTTCTACATTAGACCAGGACGGACTGTGTGCACCACGTCTGCGCAGGAAGCCTGTCGCTTCTCCTCCATGTCTTCGGATCCCGCTTCGGCTTTTATCATTTTTTTTCACGGTTCCTTCCGTTTCGACTTCGACTTCGTGCGATTTTAAGACGTTCGCTACGGCTTCCACCGTATCGCATTTTTTACAGCTGGCTTCGGCTTTGTCATGGGTTCCGATTAAGTATTGATATATGGCCTCAGCTGCATGCGAATTTAGACACCTTCGGCTTTACCACATTCATTTCTTAATTCAGTTGCCATTTTCCTTTGTCACAATAGTCATGCTTGTCCCAGTACCCCAATAAACCACGCAATTTTATAGTTCAACGAACACATGGCTGAAAACCAAAAGTCAGCCGGTCGTCGTTCTACGGAAAGACAGACGAGGTATTTGCATAGTAGCGGAGGCAGCTCTGAGTCTCCCCCAAATCCGGCCAAACAGCCCAGCCGAGCTGCGGCCAGGAACGCCTAGTGGGACGCCGTAGCCACAAACCTTCAAAAACTGGAAGCGTTCCTTGTTTCTCTCGAACTCCAGAGCCTGATTTTTCTTCAGAGCGTCAGACCTGGAGCACAACAGGAGTGTGAAATGTGCCATGTGTGATGCTATCATTTGCAAAGCATGTAGACAAAACAACAGTAATACAGGTTCCCTTCCATATCTCCATTCGCCCGTTTTTTTCCAGGAATACGGTCATTTCTACTGCCTTATCTACGTGAATACTGCTCCTTGCAAATGCACTGAACAACTTACGTAATTTGCAAAGCACATTTGACATGTACAGGGTGCATTTGACGGTTTAGATAACTACGCAAATGGCTTTAGCGACAGCATGTTGGATCTAGCAGCCTACGTGTTGTTGCCATGGCATCAGATCAGGGGCCTGCGCAGATCGTCAGAACAGCTTTATTCATCCATCTGCCACCGTGAATGCGCGATAACAATACCAACTATCGCGATTAAACAATCTGTAAGCAGGCATGGATGAATTGTTCCGACCATCGTTGTAGTCGACGCGGACGACAGTTTGGCCCGTTATCCCAACCGTGATACCAATACCTCGCTTCAATTCTTCCGTAAAACTGTAAGCTATGACCGCATACCATTACATCCAGGCATTGAGCGCACAAGGTCAACGTTACGCAACGAGTTACCGCATAAGCGTATTTTTGTCACAGCACTTAGTCATTGACATCGACCACACTAGACTTGCATAAGTCAACGCGCCAGTCCTGAGGGGAAAATAATGTCGACGCTCATCATGAATCAATATGTTGTGGCCATTAAGGAAGCACAGTCACAACGCACAAGAAATATTGATTATTTCACTTCACAACTGATCTAATTTTCGATTAGACGATACATTCTGTAGGGCGGGTACTCCCATTCGTTAGGGGAGCTCCCCTCAATCATTGCGGCAGGCTTGATCTCGTGAAGTCTGCAGACCGTACCGGCTCTTAAACGGGAAGCCAATATAGTCAGCCGTGAAAACACGCACCAATGGCTTCGCCTGTACCGCCGCGATACGGCACGGTACGCATCCTTTCCACTTCCCGCCGTGTGCATGACCGCACGACAGCAATGCAGGTGGGCAGGCGTCACCGTGCCGAGCCGATGCCGCGCAGCCACACCAGGCGGCACGGCCAGCACAGCACAGCAGCGCTGCAGCTGAGCGGCGTCGGTCGCGGCTGGCTGAAGGCCCGCTGCGGCCAGCCCGCTGCCCGGCCCACAGCCGGCCGTGTGGGTCAATGAGGCCGCACGGTACGCTGAGAGGGCACAGCAGGTGCGGGTGCCTCGCTGATGGGACAAGACATGCACATGCAGACCGCTGAGTCACGGTACGCACGCGAAAGGTGGTGGCAGGCACGACCTGCTGCCGCGCGGCTCTGCGGTACGTACGTGCGTGTGAAGTCGACCTGGACCGAGTGGTCGATGACCAGGTCGGAGGGGCAGACGGGGTTGATCTTGTCCGGGTCACCGCCCAGGTCCCGCACCGCCTCCCGCATTGCGGCAAAGTCCACCACGGCCGGCACGCCAGTGAAGTCCTGCCGCGCACACGACGGCGGTCTGTCATAACGACCCAACAAACTGCCGACCGCACACAACACAGTGCCCAGAACCTGACCTTTTCGGTGGAAAATGGCATCCACGATAGCCCAATTCCTACCACGCACTGTTAGCACTTCATCTTCAGAACCAGCACTCGCGGGGGCTAGGGATCCACGTGCTTCAACATTTACTTACATCTTTCACTACCACGCCTAACACCTGCATCCCAACAATGGTCCCGGCGGAGCCCGAATCACGCTGGCACCTGCAGGATGACGCGGGCCGGCTTGAACGGCACCTCCACGGTGGCGGCGGCGGGTGCGGTGTGCACGCGCCAGTCCAAGATGTGGTTGACGTCCGCGCAGCGCACTTGAAACTCGTCACAGCTGCGCACGGCCGCCTCCAGCAGCACGCGTATCGAGAACGGCAGCGCATCTGGTGACGAGTGCGACCCATCATCAGTGTATCCTAAGGTGTGCAACAGCACGACGCCATGCGATTAGAAGGGGCTCTCCGAGTGACCGCCTCATGATCCGCACCGTAAGGGACGGGCCGCCATGCCTCTCTGCCATGTACTGAGCGGTGAAAATTATTCGAAGCAGCCAGTCGGCTGCGTTTCGAATTTCTATTTATACATTCGGTGGACACATCATAGTGGTTATGATTACGACGTTCATGCGCAGTGGATAGCGACACAAACGAAACACAAAACAACAGTGATCAGAATTTTTCCAGAATGTTCGATCTGACCGTATTGAGGCGGAAACGGGCGGCCGGTCTGGGCGTCTGTGGGACTGACCGGCCGGTCTGGGCGCAGGGGGACAGGCCGGTAGGGCTAGTCGCGGGTGGGACCAGGGCCGGCCGGCCGACCGGTCTGGACGCGGGTGGGGCCGGGACCGGCCGGCCGAGCATGGCGTGGGTGGGACAGACCGGTTGGGCTAGGCGCGGGTGGGACAGAGGACAGCGGCCACACGCCGGTCAGCTGTGGGTTATTGCTAGCTTTTTGCGCACATGCCGGCAATCGCGGCCAACTGATGGCGCTGGTGCCCTCGCCGTTTGCCCGCCCTGGCAGCTGCCATTGCAGAACATGCATGACAATGCCGCAGAACGTCGCAGGCCTGCCACGCAGGCCAGGGCTCGCTGTCCTGTGCGTGCTTTCGGTAGTTTTTCATGCGAGACAAGGGCGTTATTGCTGGATACAGCGATATCATGCAGCACAAGCCCCAAGCCGGCATTACTGAGCCGGCATGCCTCTCAACAGGGCACGGAAGCGTAGGGCAAATCTCTCGAGAGGTCGACCTTCAAGTGTCGAGCGATAACGTTTCTGACGCGCGCCGCCCGCCCGGCTCCAGCCCGTACCGGCCGTAAGCTGACCCGACAACGCGGCACGCCAGCAGCCGGCGGCACCCGCACTCGACCTTTACCCGCCACCACTCCACAGGCGGTGGTATGAGGTAACAGCGCACGTCGGCAGCACCCCGCTTCAGCACGAGCCGCAGGACTCCGGTCGCTACTCACTGGGCTGGTCCACAAAAGTGCTTTGTAAACCATTCAAAAGTGCATTTACCAATGTACTCGCGCTATTGGCGACCTAAGCACTCAACAAAATACTTGTGCAAAATTTAATTAATTTAGAATACGCTTACCACGGCCACATGACCAAGAACTCAGAGCAAGTTGGCTGTCACGAGTGCTGCCATCTGTGCGGCAATTATCCTGCTTGATTGGATACAAAATTACGCTGTTATGCCTCAAAGGCACAACAAAGGGAGGGCGAGAGTTACCGCTGCGTGCGGCTTCCGCGCGCATAAGGGCCTACCCGTTAATCTCTCCAGCATTCCTAGACGGACGGATATTCAAGGAATGCCCGCGGAGACTTGCACCACGCAGAAAGCAGGTCCTTAAGTGGAATACTGTGACACTATGGCTTACACCTACAGAAAAGCGAGATGGATTGATCGGTTTCCGTTGAATCAGCGCCAAGAAACAAGCTGCCTTAATGGGAGAAGAATTTCCGCAGCGATACTTTGAGCTTCGCCATGCCGATAAGTTAAGCAGGCTAGAAGGCGGCCAAACCTCAGACCGGCCGAGGGGTGATGGGTTGTAACAAAGGCCGCCTTCACCCTGTTCTGGACAGCGGCGTGCTCAAAAACGCTCAACGGGGGCTTTGACCGGTGCCGGGCTGCCGACGCAGGCAAGTACTGGAAATGCACACCAAAAAAGGAGAAAAAACTTCAGACACAGGATAAAAGGTGTTTTTGACATCCAGAAATCAACGCCATTATTATCATCAAAATATTGTCGTGAACCATCAAATGGCAATGACGTCAGTACTTTGGGGCCCGGAAAGGGGCGGCAGTGCATAAGGGGGTGCCGGGTCATATTCCCTCACTTCTTAAGAAAGTTTAACACTAACCCTTATCCACTATGGTCATGCATGGAAAGGCATGATCTAACTGTCGCCCTGGTGGTGGGGGGGGGGGGGGGGAGACATGCGAGTCCCTCCCCAAGAGTTTACCGGTGATATCTCTCCGGCACGTCGTGTAATCGAGCCCACATTTTTGACGGCATAAGAGTGATGCATCGCACGCGTATTAATACAGAAATACAGCACTTCCCCTTCTGAGTAGTGACGGTTTTTTTTAAGAACGCTGCGTGGCGACCAGCGGCCGACGCGGGCTGTCCGGCGGCGATCAGTGAATGCGCCGATCAAGCGCGGCGGGCCGACATCGGCACATTGACGGAGTCCTACATCATAAACATATGCTCATAAACACAAAACAACTGGATGCCAACATGCTCAGTTTTAAACAAGGCACACGCCTGTGTACCTTTTATGTTCCTACGTAGCACAGCTTCGTAAAATTGTGACGTAAAGCTGAAATAGTGCGATTTTCAGGATAAATTGACATTTGGGCTGGCACAGTCGGGTAAATTATTGGCCTAGCCATGTAACGCTTATCATCAATCACAAGCTCTTATTGAGACCAATTCCACTCCTCTCTTCGTCCATCGCCATCTCTCTTAGTTAAGAAGTGGCACGGAACAGCACCATTACCTTGCTGGCCTGCGTCATGAAAAATAGTGAATCCGGTTGACTGTTAAAACCGGCATTGGGACCATTGTTTTCTGAGACTTCCCTATCCCTATGCTGCAATGTCATTTCCACTAAAGCCAGATCATTGCAGACAATCAGTGACCTATCGCTGAGGCAAGCAACCCAAGCTCTACAAACGTAGCACGCTTGCGTGTCTAAAAATGGCCGAGCTGTAACGACCGTCTCATCGCTTTCGGGCCCATCCCCACGCATTAGGAGGCGCCACTTCGACGGGATTGCTCCAAGCACACTAAGGGACATCCCTGCAGGCGAGAAGCCAGAACGGCCAAAACGGCTCAAACGTGGCATATGCGCACACAAGTGACTCATGGAGACATTTGTCAACCATTCTACCGCCTTGGGGATGGAAGATGCCATTGTACAAGCAGTCTCGCAGCCGGCCGGCCGGTCGAAAGTTGTCTCCAGTCTAACAACGGAGCTCCCCAGAACCGCCAGTCACCCAGACTGCTTGTATAATGGCACCTTCAATCCCCGAGGCGATAGAATGGTTGACAAATGTCTGCATGTGTCACATATGTGCACAAATGCCATGTCTGAGCCGTTTGGCCATTCTGGCTTCTCGCCTGCAGGGAGGTCCCTTGCTGGACTTGGGGCAATACAGTTGAAGTGGCGCCTCCTAATGCGTGAGAATGGACCCGGCAGCGATGAGACGGTCACTACAGCCCAGCCATTTCAAGACATGAAGACGTGCTACGTTTGTAAAAGTTTGGATGGTCTTATTTGCCGGGAAATCCGTTGTTGGAGTCAGCAATTACCGGCCGGCCGGCCGCCAACCGCTTACGAGCCTGCCCGGGTGCACCTTGCCGCCGCATCGCAGAGCGGGAAGGCCGCCCGCCACCTGGTGGTAGACGGCGCGAAGGATGCCCCTTAGTGGACCTAGCCTCGATTGTTCAGGAGGACCTTTAGGTTCTGGCACATATGACATACCTATTTGCTTAAAAAAGACATTGGGCACATTTTAGATGCAAATATTTCCAGTGCCTTACTTCTCCCAAAATGGTAATTAAGCCCAGATTTGGACGGCAGAATAATCTTGAGTAACTTCAATTTTCCTAAAATGCGAAGTCCTGTAAAACCGCATGCAAATCGTTACACAGTCTAGTGAATAACTGTATGTGCTACACTGACAATGAATAAATGAAAAATATTTAACAGCAATGTTGGTTAACCGCAGCTTTCTACTGATGGATCGTGACCACCCTTTTCTACACATTCCTTCCCAAAGAGACACCAATTCTACAGAAAGCAGTGCAGAAAAATTCCACCATATTGTCCATAGCACTGGGAGTGCACTCGTGCCCACAAAGGTGTATGGTGGGGACAGCTGGACCAGTCTGTAAGGAGGGAAGTGTGAGCAATCGGACTTGAGTGAGATGCCAGTCTGGTGCAAAAAATGTGCACCAAATTGCTGGGGCATGTCAACTTCTGATGAGCAGGGCACTGGACACTGGATGTAGCTATCAAAGAGAATGTTTCATGTCTGAAGACATGAAAGTACACATCAGATATAGTAGCAATAAGCTCACTTATAACTGTTGGTACACTTACATGGAAAACTGCTCTAGGCAATACAATTTTTCTTTTCAGTAAACATGCTCCTCACTACATCATTTTTTGGGTATGTTATCACACCATGCACACCATTAATTAGGAGCCAACTGACGGCCATTACAGTTAGAAATCCTGCACACAAACTATATAATGAACAACTTGACAATTTTATTTGTTGGCTTTGATCACCTCATGGCTCATTGAAAGGCAATATACTTATAAAGTCATGATGTCACAAATGCCTGGGTAGCCTTCAAATAGTCTCCCAAAATTGTCTGCACATCTTTGCTGGCAGCTGACTCAAAGACTAGAGAGGTTTAGGTCTTCAGAAGGGCACTGCTGTGAACTGCACCAAATGAATTTCAAGATGGCGATTTCAATTTAAAACCGCTTACAGATGTGGAACACCTCTTCAAAGGTTGGGCAACATAACATATCAGGCAGCCTGTAATGGAATTGCCAGAGAGGTGATGGCCTAGTTGCTAAAACTGATCACCAATAGTATTTCTGGACATCATGTGGAGGGGTCTGGGCAACAAACTGTTGGCCCAAGGTGGATGGAATGTGTAATGTTACAGCTGCATTAACCTTTATATACTGACTGCAATCCTGTGGCAATGCAGCCATAAATCACTAATGCTGTAAAATTTATTTGAACTAGATAGCACAAAGCTTGCAGGCCTCCAAGTGTACACCAATTATTCACAAGAAATCACCTCATATTCAACCAGGTGGTTTTCAACTGCACTTACTGTATCTTGGATCCTTCAGGGCAATGATGTCATAGTAATGGTATGTGGATTCATCCACTGTCAGCTCCTTCAGCAGATGGTCATATGGGTTTACCCCTGCCAACAAAAATCAGCCATATTAAGTATCACATATTGCAACATATGCTGCAGCATTCAAGACTGCAATATATTCTAGCAATACATATACACTCCAAATTGGAGGGTGGTTACGCACCAGGCTTAACCACCCTCCAAAACGGAAGGCGGTTATGCAACAGGCTTATACTCTCCAAAATGGAGAAGGCTATGCACCAAGCCTATAAGGTGATTTGCCCTCCAAAAATCTTCAGGGTGAACAATTTACTTACTGGAATAATAAAACACCAGAGCTGCGAGTCAAACAAACAGGTGATGATGGCTTTAAATAAGAGATGGCCATCAAACTGTCTCCATCCACTTGAATCCCATTTCCTGCATATCTTAATTGTGCACAAATAGGCATGCTGGCACAGTGGCGAGGTGACTAATGTGACTGGCTCCCATGGGGTAAGCCAGTTCCACTCTGGGTGGCAGTACACTCCTTCAACAGTGATTTGGTCAATACGCATGCCCCTTAGCCCATTACATTCAAAGGGTGACGTAAATGATGATAATGTACCCCTTATCCCAATACATTTGAATGGTGACATAAATGGTGATAATGTCACACCTATCTTAAAAGAAAGACCAAGCTCAAGTCCTTGTTACTAAACATTGCCATAGTTCTCATGTCCTTGAGAAGTCCCCCCCTTATTTGAGCTCCTGGGAGAAGGAAGTAGGCCAAATGTGGGGAGACCCTTGCTTGTTACATCAACTTTCTAGGGAATGCTTTTCTTATTCTCCACTTTTCTGCCCCCCCCCCCCCCCCACCCCCCAACACACTTGATTTGTGGAACTACACTGTCAATACCAAACTGTCTGTCATGGCATGAAAATGACCAATTCTAACCTTGAAGGTGACCACAAAAAACATCAAATGGGAGTGCCCTAAATCTGATATGGGGACCCAAAGCCTGGAGGCCTGGCTGGATACTCTAACCATCCAAGCACCCTAGATGCCAATCAGTCATCCCATAATTTGTTATGAGTAGAATCATCCCCAGCACATGATGCATATAGCCCACATTGAGCCAAAGTTTTGCCCCAGATTTCACATGTTTGCACCCACTTCCCTGCAAGACTGGCAGTCCCTGAATGTTGACACATTTGACTGTCTGAAAGATTCTTGAGAGTGTATGAGCCCAGTGCATAGACACCCTCCATCTTCAAGGGTGTATAGGCCCAGTGTGTCACCCTTCATTTTGAACAGCGTATACACACAGTCTATATTTCAACTATTCATCCATCCTATAAGCACACAAACAACAAATGGAATTGCCACCTTAGCTTAGCACAAGTCAATTAAAGCACTTGGGCAACAACCAAATATCTTAAAAGTCCCAGGTACGAAGATGTGGAACATGACAACACAATAAAGATGATGCAATTTCATCATTTGTGGCCCTGTAAAAAACAACAGACGGTCCCACACATTCAACTGTGCGCGACTGTCCGTAGCAACATTTTTGCTCAGCACTGCCAAATACCATCTGGCCCATGGCAGTGAACAACTAAGGCGCCGCTCGACCAGATGGAAAATATTCAAAGAAATAAATGTTTTCGCAACGGCACGAGCCTTCGCAGCTAATTGAGCACCCATTTAGAATAACTCCAAAGCATGTCGGGGTGTTACCAGTAACCCAGCACACTTTGAACAATACGTGCAGTATCAAAACTGCAGCGTGTCAGCGGATACGTAATTGGGGAAGGATGATGGCAGAATACTCACCGGTCGCCAGTTCCATCACTGTCGCGGAATCTTACACACGAGACAGGAACCCCCGAGCCCACTCGTAGCTGGTGCCCACCCACGCTCCCGCGAGGCGCTCGACTGCTGCACAATATTTTCCAAGGTTCTGTCCAAAAAATGAGAAATCGGATGAGTCTTTTCAGTCAGCTGGCATAGTAGGAAGCATATCTGGTAGATATGTGAGGCAGCGTAATAAACTAGCAGCCAATTGAAAAGGAATAGGACCGCCAAAGTATGAAACCTTGAATAAAGATCGAAGTTCGAAGTGCGAACGAGTGAACATGAACTGTGTTCCTTTCAGGCGGTAGCAAGGACGAATTTCCTTTTCATTTCGGTTGGCCTTGCTATAACATAGACGCAGCTCTCACAACTCTGAAAAATGGGAGCCGACTTTTCTCTCTTTAAGGCCCCAGACAGCATAACCAACTGGAACCCATGTAGATCCGTGATGGACAGTCATATGGGGCCATCAGGGCTGCCCATTTCGGTCCCATGTGGACATGTCGTGGGCGCCCACCTGGGTCCTGCATGAACAGCCCACCTGGGGCCCATATGGGCCCAAACCGGAACCCATATGGGGCCCACCTGGCAGGGGCGGAGTATCCGAATTTGGGATCGGAGGGTGGGGGAGAGAGTTGACGAAGGCCCCCAAACCGATGGGCTTCCATATTTAAGTATAGGCACGCAGCCAGAGCCTCGGCAAGGGAGGACGTAGGGTCGACAAAGAGTCTGATAATGAAAGCCTCCTCCCCAAAGCAAATATCACCGAATATAGTTCAGTTCTTAATGAAGGCATGTTTTTATATTTGCTCATTTTTACCCTCTGTAACTGGCATAGAAGCCGAACCTACCGCGAGATCAGTTCTGCCTAAATTTTGTGGTCAATCAAACGAAGCAGTTATGCGTAAGACTACTACATGGGATAAATCACCGGAGCTCTTCGTTTTACAATGGTACAGTGGTCTTTCTCTAAACCCGTAGAACATAGAAGCTTCTTCATAATCCTTTCTGGGCTGCACACAAATTTTAAAACCGCGCGAACATAGATTGAAATGGATTAACAATTTGCGTTTACATGGCCAAGTCATGTTGGCTGGGAAATGCTCAACATTCAGTCATAATTTATAAGTGATACAAATTATATAACGAAGTTTTCAGCAGGCGTGCTAGCAAATCTAAGCAAAAAACCTCGACGCCAGGCGTGATAGTCTCCGTAGACCGCACAGGTTCAGCCCTGTAGCTAACACTAAGTCGTAGCCAACGAGTGGACGAGCAACAGCGCAGGCAGGCTGGGGGCACAGGGGGGAGGGCATGCGCCGCCCCCCCCCCTCCGTTGGGTTCCGAGGGCCCCTCGGGACCTACGATTAAGGGCCCAATTTGAGGGCCCGAAGGGCCCGAAAGTCCACACGGAGGTCTCATTCAGGGGCCGGGCACTCCGATTCCAGCCAGAGCGACCTGCGTGCTCATCAGGGGCCCATTGAGTCGATAAGGGCATATGTTTTGGTCAGCCACCACCACTAATGTACGGTCGGCTCCGTGGTGGAATGGGCCTAAGGCTCATTTCCCAAGCAGAGCCAAAGCAGGAACCAGCGATTTACATTGCACGGGGTCCACATCGCCCAACAGGCGCCCGGCGTTGTAAGGGGGCCCTGAATCAGTCAGAGATAGTGTTTGAAGATGCCCGAAAAACCCAGAGTTAGACGGCCCTTTGCGCCGATCGCGGATCTCCTGGGTCGATTTAGGCCTGTATGTCGGTCAGATACCACCAGCACCGCACATTCGATCCCGTTACGATATGGGCCTGAGGGTTCGCTTCCCAATCAGCCATAAAGCCGGGGCCAGTAATTTACACTTGTCGGGGGCGTTGTATCTGTCAGGGACCCACAGCGGTTATCAGAGGGTCCTGTGCTCGTACGGGCCCCAAGCCAACCAAGTGAAGTACTCGAGGTCCAAAGAGGGGCCAGGTGGCACACCGAAACCGTCGATCAAAGGCCCGGTTGGAGGGAATGAGGGCCCGAATGACTGTCTGTAGGTCGTATAAAGAATCTCGGCCGGTAGGGATAGGGGCCTGAAATATTAGTCAGAGGCCCTCTTGCACCGTTTCAGGAACCACTGAAACAATGCAGATGTCTTAGTCGGTCAGAAACCACGAACACCGAACAGTCGGCTCCACGGCCGTCTATGCCTCTGAGATCCATCTTCCAAGCAGAAGCAAGGCCGGGGTCCTCGATTTGCAATTTTCGGAGTCCCTGACATAATGAGGAGCTCCTGAGTCGGTTAGAGGCCATAGTGCCTAACAGAGATTTTGTGACGGCAAGTGGTCCGAGCCGGAGCGGTGGTTGAGGGCGTCCGGAGGGATGCCAAAGATCTCTCCAGGCCAAAGATCAAGGGCTCAGTGGGCCGGCTGAAGAGTCCAAAGGGCTGGCTGTAGGTCACATTAAGGACCCCCGCCCACAGGGTCGTGATCTCAAATATCAGTTGGATGATCTTTCACTGATAGGGACCCCTGAGACATAGCGTTTCTTTATTTTGGCCAGATATAACGAACAACGAACAGTCGGCTAGGTGTTGGTCTGAGCTCTGGGGCCCATTTCTCAAGCAGGGGCAAGGCCGGGTCCGTGTTTTACATTGGTCGGGCTCCTGTATCGTTCAGAGACTTGCAGCTCCTTACAGGGCATCCTGTGTCAACAACGGGCCTCGAATCGGTCAGGGGAAGATTTGCTCAACAGGGCCAGGGATGGGAGCCCGAATGAAGGAGCGTCTATTGCGTGGGTCGGGGCCCGCTGACAACTGAAGTAAACATAAGAACATACGATGCTTGCTCACAATGAAAAAAAATATAAGAGTCCTGTGCCGGCCAGGGCCCCTAGTACCGAACGGTGGGCTCTCCAACCCAACTCCACCATGAGTCCGTTAAGTCCAACTGGAGTCCGTGTGCCAATTATTTGAGCACCTGTGGCGAGCAGGCATGTTGCTGCATCAATGACGGTTCATGCGTCGATCCGGGGTCAACTGCGCGGCTCGGTAGCCCTTCCGCGTCAGGAAGAGGACCAGTGTGATGTGATGCATCCCTCTAAGGGCCTCCAGATCAGTCAGGGGCTGCCGCCCCGTGCTGCCAGAATGACGGCCGGAAAACACACCGCGGTGGGACAGAATGGCCTTCCAGCTATTGACCGGGAACATCGATGTGCGCGGTAGTGTTGTACTCAAGGGAGTCCCTTTGCCGGAAACAAATAAGGGGTTTCATTAGTGTTGAATGGAGTGGGTCAAAATGAGTTCAAAACGCACAAGTTTATCACATGCTTCCCTGAGAACGCTCGTTATTTTGCAGAATCGGCTAGTGAAGCAAATAGCATCACAAGGTGCCGGGTGCCGACAGTGCGATGTTTAACGCGCCGCCGCCTGCGTTAACCACCGTGCTTGTGGGAATGCACACGTACGGAGTTCGATTCCCCGCGGCGCTCGCCCTTCCCGCCAGGATGAGAGACTGGCGACGCCATATAGCCCCAGCAGCTGAGTGCGTCATGAAGGCCCAATGACACGGCCGTAATCTAGAGGGACAAGGATAGCGATGACTTTGGCTGCAGTTTCTGTAAAACCGAACGGCGTTGGCCACTGCGAGTAACGCAGGGAGGGGGCGGGGCGCGATGTGCGCGGCAATGACAATCGTAAAATAATGTTTCTGAATGTTTTTCAAAACCAATTTGCACAGTTCAAAGAGGACATTGTTCGAATATCTTTTTCAACTTTGAAGCTGTCCTCTGGACAGGTTTACAGGAACAGCAACACGGAAAATAGAGATTTTACGTTTACTCTCCCAAGTCCACCATCAGATTTCAGCACTCCTTTGCGGTGTTGTAAAGATCAAGACGTTGCCATCAATCTAAAAACTGCACAGGTGAAATACACGCCCGGAACATATCTAAATGTACCGTTTGGTGTCCGAAAACGCTGAAAAGTACTTCTTTGAAATGTGTCATCATTTTTGTCCACCTGTTGGTCACGGTCTGGTGTTAGCCGCGTGGTCAACGCTGCGCAGCTCAAGAAGACTGTAACGCCTGGCGTCTAGGTTTTTGTTACTAAGACATGCCAGCACGTATGGTCAAGACATATATACGTATATGTATACATATATGCATATATATACACATGTATGCACACACATATATATATATATATATATATATATATATATATATACATACATATATTCATATATTCTTACATACACACATACAATACATACATATATTCTTGGAGTATATATATATATATATATATATATATATATATATATATATATATATATATATATATATATATATATATATATATATATATATACTCCAAGAAACACCTGCCCTCATCAACAAATGGGCCATAGACGGTTATTTTTGGGGCCTTTTACTGTCAGGGGCCCTTTGCCAACTCTGTAGCGCCCTTGCCAAGGCTCTGGCTGCGCCCCTTTGGACGAGCATGATCACCCGTTTGACAGAAGTGCCTTTGAACGCTTTAGGACTTCAAGCCGTACGCTTAGAAGTTCGCAGGCGTATATTTCACCCGCGCGATTTTTAGATGGATGCGTTGAACGGGTTGGCCTTTACAGCACCGCGGAGTGGCATTGTAATCCGGAGATAGAACTGGGGGAGTAAAGGTAGATCTCTATTTTTCGTATTGCTGTAACTGTTAAGCTGTGCAGAGGACAGCCTCAAAGTTGTAAAAAAACACGCCCAGCCCTGAACGCCTTTTTTCTAACTTTCTAGAACATTCGGGAGTATTATTGTATCATGATGTTACTGGCGTACCCCTGAGGCCGCCCCTGCTCGCGCCGCCAGTGCTGCTGCACTTTGGTACGCCGCTGCCCCGAATGGCGGTGTACTGCCTGGGGCGCCGCCCGCCGGAGTCGGCGCCGCCCGCTCGCTTCGCGGTTAATACAGTTGCCGTCTCGCAGCGCTCGTGTCTGGTCTGGGTAGACAGAACACGTAGACTTGAATAATTATTTTACGTCAGTCGCTCTCGCGCGTACGGCATCCGCCACCTGGTCTAGATTGCAGTGGCCAGCGCAGTT